CCTAGAACTTCTTTCTGGGTCTCCCACGCAGGTGTAGGGTCCCAAGGCTTTGGGCCATCCTCAACTGCTTTCCCAGGCCACAGGTAGGGAGCTGGATGGGAAGTGGAGCTGCCGGGATTAGAACCGGCACCCATGTGGGATCCAGGTGCAGGCAAGGACCTTAACCAGACACTATTGCACTGGGCCCAGCTCAGTGTATTTGCATAGGAAAAAATATTAGCATGTCAGAGTATATTTGTAGGTTTTGGTTTATCATAGTACTTTTCATAGTAGCCAAAATATGAAATGAACCTGTGTTTATCAATAGGTAAAAAGTGGATAAAGAAAGTGTGGCAAATATACACAGTGTATGTAATACTATTCAGACATTAAAAATAATGAAATTATGGGATATGCATTGTGGCATGGCAGTCATTCCTCGTCATAATGCCAGTTGAAGCTTCCTAATCCATGATCCTGCTAATGTACTAGGGAAGGCAGTGGAAGTACTTGGGTAGGCCCACTGAGATCCCATATGAGCACCAGTTCTAATCCCAGCAATGCTGCTTCCCATCCAGCTCCCTGCTTGTGGCCTGGGAAAGCAGTCAAGGATGGCCCAAAGCCTTGGGACCCTGCACCCTAAGGGAGACCCAGAAGAGTTCCTGTCTCCTGGCTTTGGATCGATGCAGCTTCGGCCATTGTGGCCACTTGGGGAATGAATCAGTGGATGGAAGATCTTCCTATCTCTCTCCTCCTCTCTGTATATCTGCCTTTCCAATTAAAAAAAAAAAAAAGTATTTGAATCTCTTCTATCTGTGGGAGATGAGAAGCTCCTGGATTTTGACCTCAGACTGGCCAAACCTGACTGTTGTGAACACTGAGGAGTGAACCAATAGAAGGAAAATTCCTCTCCCTTTTGATACTTCTTTCTATTGCTCTGCTCTCACTCTTTCCCCACCCCTCTCTCTCACTGTGTATTTAAATAAATAAAACAAATTGATTTTTTTAAGTAAAATCTTGTCATTTTTGTGGCAACTAGAGTAATCCTTGTAGGCATACAAAGTGAAACAAATCAGAAATCAAAAGACATATTCTCAAATTATACGTTGAAACTAAAAGTTGATCTTACAGACATGGAGGTAGATTAGTGCTTATCAGAGATTGGAAAGAGTTGCAGTGGGGAGATGAAGAAAAGAATGGTGAATGGATCCAAGAGTGCAGCCAAATAGAAGAAATAACTTCCTCAGTTCTGTAGAGCGGTAGAGTAGCCATGGTTAACAACAGTTGATTATACAGTTGAAAATAACTAGTAGAGGACCCAGCGCTATAGCCTAGCAGCTAAAGTCCTCGCCTTGAGCATGCTGGGATCCTTATGGGTGCTGATTCTAATCCTAGCCCCACTTCCCATCCAGCTCCCTGCTTTTGGCCTGGGAAAGCAATTGAGGACGGCCCAAAGCCTTGGGACCCTGCACCCACATTGGAGTCCCGGAGGAGGCTCCTGGCTCCTGTCTCCTAGCTTCGGATTGGCTCAGGTCTAGCCGTTGTAGCCATTTGGGACTATCAGATGAAAGATCTTCCTCTCTGTCTCTCCTCCTCTCTGTATATCTGCCTTTCCAATAAAAATAAATAATTACTAGAAGGGATTTTGAATGTTCCAGGAACAGAAGAAATGATACTCTTGAGATTGTTAATACGCATATTATCCTGATTTGATCATTTATATGAATATATTATTTAAATCATTACATTGTAAATATGTAAAATAATTATGTGTCCATTTAAAATAAAATGTAATTTTTCAAAGATATGTTTGAAAATAAAAGATCTTTTCACTATGTTAAATTCCTGGCCTTTGAAATTTCCTGAAGAACCCCAGTAAGTAGGGATTCAGAACTGATAATTCATTGATGATAATAACAATTACAGTTCACAGTTTTGTCGGTCCCACTATTGGGCATATATTATGCTAAATATTTTTGCATTATTTTAACTATTTCGAGTGCCTGCTATGCACTAAGAGATGTGTAGGCCACTAGGGAAAAGTATATAAATATAATAAATCAAGTGAGTGGAATGTAAGAAGATGGTGAGTACTGTGGGGAAAAAGTAGAGCAAGGTAAGGGAAGTCAAGAGCACTTGATTTGGTGTTGGGAAATGGGTTGCATTGTTAAATAGGATGGTCAGGATGGGCCCAGTGGGAAAGGCTGCACTGGTGCTGAAGCATCTGGATATTTCAGAGTATCAGACAAATATGCCTGGGAAAGCGGTGGAGATGACCCAAAAGCTTGGGCTCTTGAACTCACATGGGACACCCAGATTCCCAAGTTCCTGGCTTCAGCCTGGATCTGCCTCAGACATGTGGGGAATGAACCAGTGGATGGAAGATCCATCTGCCATTCTGTTGTTTATTTCAAACAAAAAATTGTGAGAATAATGATCAAGGGAGAGAGTGATAGATAAAATTAACAAATCCATGGATGGGAGAAAGACAAGGCAGATCCTATTACTGCAACACTATGGAATAGGTACCATTCCCATTTTATAATGGGCTCCCTAAGAGGAACCAAGGCATAAAATCTTGAAATAAACTGCAACATCATTATAAAATCAGAATCTGGCTAAGATAGGAAGGAAGCTATTTCATCTAGTTACATATTAAAAATTTCAGAAGGATTTAGTAGTGAATTGCCGTATGACCTCTGCAAAATACTAAATGAAGGGCCAGCAGTTCTGTAGTAGACGGTTCATTTAGCAATGACTGTAATTTTCTTTATCTGCAAATGAGTATGACTATTTATGGAGGTTTTAATTTCATTAGCTTTTTCAGTTGCATGTGACTTCTTTTTATTATAAGTATAGTAGATTCTCTTAATAGAAGGCTTTTGTATTACAACAAATCCAAATTTAAATTTCTTTGTTGCAGTCTTTTTGTACTCAACCTTCTTAGAAACAGATATATTCATACATATAATATGTTTTCTTCAATTCTTCTGTATAAAAAGCCATATTATTACAATATGGCGATTACATTTGCACATTACCTTTGTGCATGCTGTTTGATTGAAATGAATCAATGTAATGGTAAATGCAGATTGGCCCATATGCCACCCCTGCTTGGAATGGTTCAATGCCTCTGTAGTATAATTTGATCTAGAGAACCTTTTTTAGAGATTGATTTATTTATCTGAAAAGGAAAGCTAGGGAGTGGGGAGCAACAGAGAAAGAGAGATCTTCCATCCACTGGTTACCTCTGAAATCATCACAACAGCTGGGACTGAGCCAGACGAAAGCCAGGAGACAAGAGCTTCATCTGTGTCTCTAACATGGCCCAAACATTTGGGGCATTTTCTGCTGCTTTCCCTTCCGTGTTAGCAAGAAGCTGGATTGGAAGCAGAGCAGCTAGGATGCAAACCAGCACCCATATAACATGTGGGCGATGCTGGCAGTGCCTTAAGTTAGTTCACCACAATGCCAGCTCCAAGAAAACTATTTTAATAAAGACAGCCTTTTTAAGTAATGGAGAATCTAGGCAAACTGTTTATGTGCCTTTCTCAGTGATCCCCAGCCCAATTTCAGACCACTCTGCTTCAAGATTACATGGATTAGGAGGCTGAAAGCCATGTTTTACCCTGAAGTGAAAAGATATAATAGTGCATTTTTTATATATTAGATTGATAGTTTAAAAAACTGCTACTTATTATGAAGTTAATTTCCAATATTGGGGATTCCATTTTTACCCACTACTTTATGTTTATGAATGTTTCATCATTGACTTGTGCAGGTGATCATTTAAAAAGCAGCAGTTTGCTAGATTCTTGGTGGTTTGCATAATGGTTTATTAATGTGACAGTTAATTAGAAAGTGAGAAATCAGATAATTTTTTAAGTCATCTTCCACAGAAACAGTAAATGAGGGATTGACGGTTGTAATTGTTTGGCACTAGCAAGCTTTTGTCAAGTGGGGGCATCATTGGTCTTTCCTAAGTTAGCAGTATGGGAAGAATGGTTTGCTTTTAAGCTTAAGTGACATTACAGCCACACTTTTTACCTTATTAAGGGAGAACCACTGTTTTATATCTGAGCTTTACTACTAAATCTAGCATTCTAATAATGAAATTTTAAAATCCCAAAATATTCAGTAAGTTTCTTTATATCTTTCATTTGTATTGGCCTCCTAAGTTATCAAAACGATGTAATTGTTATTTGGTAGAAGCAAATCACATGCTTTTAGACTAATAAAAGTTTAAAATAAATTATTATTATTATAACAGTCTTAATATTATTACCAACATTATTGTTTTAAGTGTATGAGTAACGGGGAAAATATATGCTTAGAATTTAGTACATGCATTCAACTAATTCACCTGAAATCCAGAAATAGCTGTCAGTGATAATTGAAAATTATTTTGAGCATATCCAAAATAAATAATGTGTGCTGTTGTAACCATTACTGACTCTTGCTAAAATCTCTAAAACGTTTTTGTCAACACTCTATTTATTTAAGAAGGGTGTTAGAATATGACTATCATTATACTGTTTATTTAAAATACATTTATGACTACTATATTTTTAAGTCACTATGATTTTGATCTTTTTACTAACAGTTTGTGCTACAGTTAGACGTCAAAGTGCATAATGTTTAATATATGCAAAAGGAACCATATTTGTGCATGATTACATTTGGGGAAATTTTCCAGGGTGTGGGTTATACAGATATTCGCCCTTAAGTGTTTAAATATTTTAACATGATGTTTCCATCAGTAAAGCTCTTGGCTTGTTCTTACGTATGAGTTTAAAATCTTGCATATCTACATCCTTGTCAGCCAATGCCATGGGCTAAAACTGAAGATAATAACTTAAGATTTATGTCTCCCTCACACAGGTTACAGTTGTCGTGAAATGTCAGTTTTGAAGAATCTAAACTGACATCAAAGGGTTCAGATGATCTAGTTAGGTCAATTAATGTTAATTTTCAGCTTCCATTAAATTCTTTTAATGTTTTCCTCTTTTCTTTTTTTGTAGCCAAGTCCTATACCAAGTCCTGTTTTAGGTCGAAAGCCAAATGCTAGTCAGTCATTGCTTGTATGGTGTAAAGAAGTTACAAAAAACTACCGGGGAGTAAAAATCACCAATTTTACCACATCATGGAGAAATGGTTTATCCTTTTGTGCAATATTACATCACTTTAGACCAGACTTAATGTGAGTAAGAGACGTTCTTCATTCCCTATAAGTATTGTGTAAATAATAGACATTTTAATAAAAATTATTTCTTAGCATATATCTTGAGATACATAACTTTCTAATTTTGCTACCTTAATTTCCTAACTTTTTGAAAGAACAAATATCTGTCACAGAAAAATCTTCTTGATACCTAAAAACCCTCTTTTCCCTTTTAAAAATAAATTTTCCTATAATTTCATGCAAAGAACTGACTTCAAATTATTATGAAAATTGTGTTAGTATTAAAATGAGACAAATAAAGCCTGTAACTCTTTGTACATCCACAACAAGGGATTACCTCATGGAAAATTTGGTTGTCAAGCCTAGTCTGTGGTTCCCGACCTTAACTTCTCTTTCAGATGAAAAGCTTCAGGCATTGAAACATGCAATCACTAGTTATTTATTTATTTATTTTCTTAATTTTCCACACTATTAGTTTTGTTGATTGAATTGCTGTGAAATTGCTAGTTACTTTTCGGTATTATTGAATGTCAAATTTTTCAGATTCAGTTTGTTTTAAAAACAGCTGTTTTTATCAAATACTGCATGTACCCACTGTTGCATTTTCTCCCTCAGTGACTACAAGTCTCTGAATCCTCAAGATATTAAGGAGAACAACAAAAAGGTAAGAATTGCCAATAAAAAAAAATACATAGTTTCAATTTTGGCTCCTCTGCAGGTTTTTATTAATTTGAGGGAAAGTGGGGCTATTTTGTGAGGTCACAACTGCAGCTCACAGAAGGTAGTGTGCTTCCTGCAGTTCAAATGAAATGTGTGGTTTTCTCTGATTTGCCATGGACTTTAAAGATCACAGGTACCAGGCTGGCAACAGATAACAATATGTGCATGACCTTTATTAAATGTTCAATATGTGTGAAAACACGTTGCTTTTATTCTGAGACACAGCTTTTAAAAAATGTACCAAAATTCTGTATTGTACACATAATATAATGTAAGTTTTAAGACGTGATTGACACAGGTTGAGAACAGGAGCCTGATAGGTAAGCAAGAAAGGGTACCTAAGTTCTTAGAAAGAAAAAGACACAAAATTTGCTTCCTTTCATTTTATGGTAAAGTGTTTGTATTTTTCTACATATTTAATTTGTATGTTGAGGTCACAGCTTCCCACCTGCTTTGGGGTTTATTGACCCATGCACCTTTCAGGGTAGTTCGATAGGGCTTACTTGCTGGAGTCCCCTGAGCCAGCTATGTGTGCTGCAAGCTTACTTACCTGTTTCTTGCCGTGTACAGTACAGTGCTGTGATTTTTCTGTATGCAAGGCAAAGGATACCCAAGTCAGCAAACAATAATTACACAATTTTATAATTTTTGTAATTTGTTTCACTAAATTGTTTAACTGATAAACCTACATATTGTTAACAGAAATACATTCGCTTCAAGTTTGAATTTAGATGACGAACCACTTTGGTGTTAGCCATGCACTGTTGGAAATCATATGCAATCCACTGTTGTAGATTCCAACAAATAATACCTTTTAAGTTTATCTCTTTTTCAAAATTACATTTACATTAATTAATACATTTCCAAAACATCCATTACTTTGTTTCCCAAATTCTGCTTTATTAATATTGTCATACTTCATTTTTCAATATAATAGATTTTGTTTGTAATCCTTTGTATTTTGTACTTGTAAAGCAATATGTACAACAAAAGAAGTCCATTACGAAAAAAGATTCGTGGGAGAAACTAAGCAGGAATCTCTGGTCTAAACTAAATTTTTTAAATGTTCTCTAAACTGAATATTTAAAATCATTGGTGGTTAAAAAGTCTTGGAATCTTTAGAAAAATTAATTTAACAAGTTTTCGGACACTTTTTTTTTACTTCTATTACTGAGTAAAATCAGAAGTTTGTATGACTGTTGACATCAGAAAATTGATTCTTTGTAAATGAATGAAGTTGGACATGGACTTCCAGTCCCTTCACTGAAATATGCCATCAGAAAGGGAAATTTTTATAAAGCAATATGGATTTTCCATAGAAATCTGGTTAGGATAATATAAGAAAATCATTATTATTGTTTCTTGTATAATTTTGGAGATCCTGCATCTAAAGTGAAATGCTTTCTATCCCCACTAAATTACATCCTTAGAGCGGATGGCTTTTACCTGCACTTTTTGCATTTGAATGACATGTTAAGCTAATTTAAATTCAGAAATAAGTATTATGAAATAAATTATTTTTATGAAGCGGAACTTTCAATTTACTATTCAAAATTTTAAAAAGGAAATACTGTTTAGCTTACCTAACTATATATTTTTAAAGAATATGGGAAATCTCATTTTTAAGAACTTAATAATAATGAGCATGTCTTGAATTTGCATATATTTCTATAGAAAAGACTATCTTATTAAAATTTTTTCTCTTCCAGATCTTCCAGGACAGATCATTATGGTTTATAGAAAGGCTTTTAACTTTGATGATTGTCTTCTTTGCAACTATTCAAGAAATAGTTGCTGTTATAGTCTTACTTTTCATTGTTAGCAACTTCTTACCTGAAATCTTTATCGAATGTCTCAGTAGTTGCCTGCAGATTATTTCCGGCTTCACACAGTTTTTCCTGATAACACCAAGTACCCTTGATCGAAGTGAAACAAACAATGCCTGTGTCTAAGTTCCACACAAATGCCTAATGTAACTGCATGGCAGTGACTTCTCCCTACCAATTTAATGACATGTAAGAATGAATGAGACACTTCTCTTTGAAAGACCTCTGTTTTCTCCACAGACAGCTAAAAAAACAGTAGGTGGTTGACCATAGCAGAAGAAGTTACCTGTAGGAAAATTCCTATCAAGTGTTGACCTCACTTACTAGAAACCTGATTTGTTGTAAAATATTTTTAGTGAAATTAGTGTGCTAAAATGAATTGCTACATGAAGCAAAGCAGCAGTAGGAGTTTTTCCCCACAAGGAAGCTAATCATTTTCCAGGTCTGTAAAAAAAAAATGCTGAATAAAAGAGGTATTTACCTTTGGCGTCTGATTTTAACCAATATGTCAGTGTTTGAGATAATTGGGAAATGTTTAGAATACTGCCTGTGGTGCTTTTCCACCTGATGGTCTGCAATTGATGTCTGTCAATCAAGTTGTCAAGGCACATGAGGAGAAAAATGACTTTAATTTTCCTAAAACATGTAAAATAACAAACGAGTCTATACATGCTCTCCAACTGAGCCATTCTCTCTAGTAAATAGTTTGAAGTGCCTATATTATGAACCATAGTGCTGTGAAAATTGAAGCAGTTTTAATATCACAATTTATTTTTCATGTCTTTTTTATTTCACAGTATTTATTAAGCCAGAAGAGTATACAAGAATTAAATTCAAAAGTAGAAATGTATTTTCAGTAAGTGCAAGGCCAGTTCCTTCTAAATAGTTGCATAATTGCCAACTATTTCTTTTTAAGAAAAACTTGGAGTTAGGATCCTAGATCTTGGTTGTTGCAAGGAGTAGACATCTTACTTCCCAACGCAAGAATAGATCTGGGACTCCTTACTTTTCCAAAAGTATAGTTAAACCTTTAGCTATATATTTTATGTTTCTAAGGAACACGATGCTGTTTTGAATGGGGTAGTTCAGGATACAATAATTAATTGTAAATTGAGGAACAGAGTTGATTCTTCAAAACTAGAAAAACCTGATGTACCACCATCATTTAAAGACCAACAGTAATAGTACAATTCAGCCTCACATTATCAGCTACATTTTGTTCTTTGAAAAAGTATGAAATAAAAATGGAGTCATTATGTTTACTAAAAATTTGTCTTTAAAATGGACAGTTTAAAAAATGTCATGTTTTTAGGCTCAAGGAGTGTTTGATTGCACTTTGCTAACAATCCAATAGTTCTTTCAATTTATGTAATTGTACTTTTGACAAACCATGGCAGTTTCACAGCATGGAAAAGAAGTTGATAGTAATAGTACTTGAGATGAATTAGTCTAATGTTTCTTTATAGTTGAATTCTTTCATCTTAAAATTTAAGTTTTTTGTTCTGGTTTGTTTTAACTCTGATTTTTGCTCATATTCTTTACTGGAAAGGAGTATTTCAGCTATTACTTAGTAAGCATTTTTTTCTTGCCCTGACCCCACTTCTGAACTTAACTTTGGAAAGTTTGTCTTTTTAATGTAGCATGTCTATAACCTAGTGAATCCTGTAATAACTGCGAACACATTAAGATTTTTAAATGTATGAATTTTATGAAATATTCAGTTAATTTTTTGTTGTTTTTCCTTTCTCTGAAGGCATATGATGGATTTGCCAGCATAGGAATTTCCCGGTTATTGGAACCTTCTGACATGGTTTTATTAGCAATTCCTGATAAACTGACTGTTATGACTTACCTCTATCAAATAAGGGCACATTTCAGTGGACAAGAACTGAATGTTGTGCAGATAGAAGAAAACAGCAGTAAAAGCACATATAAAGTTGGAAACTATGAAACAGATACAAACAGTTCTGTTGATCAAGAAAAGTTCTATGCAGAGCTTGGTGATCTGAAGCGGGAACCTGAACTCCAGCAGCCTACAAGTGGAGCAGTAGACTTCTTATCACAGGATGACTCTGTATTTGTAAATGACAGTGGAGTTGGAGAATCAGAAAGTGAACATCAGACTCCTGATGACCACCTAAGTCCAAGCACAGCCTCCCCTTACTATCGCAGGACTAAAAGTGACACAGAACCCCAAAAATCCCAGCAGAGCTCTGGAAGGACTTCAGGATCCGATGACCCTGGGATATGTTCCATTACAGATGCAACCCAAGCGCAGATTTTGTCAGGCAAGAAGAGACCACTGAAAGTTGATATGTTAGAACTCAGTGACTTATATGTTAGTGATAAGAAGAAGGAGGTGTTCACGCCCTTTGTTTGTGAGAAGACAGATGAACAAAAGCTTCAGACTCTAGACATCAGTAATAATTCAGAGCAAGAAAAATTAGAGAACTACAGTTCCATAGAATGCAAATTAGATCCTGAATCACCTATCAAAAAAACAAGTTTATCTCCAACTTCTAAACTTGGATACTCCTACAATAGAGATGCAGACCTTACAAAGAAAAAACGTACTTCCCTGAGGCAGACAGAGTCTGATCCAGATGCCGACAGATCCACTTCAAATCATGCAGACCAGTCCACAAAAACGGTCCAGGTGAGTGATTTAGAATGATGAATACATACTTACATACTCAGTAAGTATTATTCTATGTTGTTGTAAAGAATTTGACTTTTTAAATAAAAGACTACTAAATTTATTATAAGAAAAATCAAAGAGGTGGCATTGTGGTGTGGCTAGTAAAGCCACCACCATTATCTAACACCCCAGATTCAAGTCCCAGCTAGGTTCAATTCCCAGCTGCTCCACTCCTATCCACTCCTGATGAAGTGCCTGGGAGAGTAGTGGAGGATGGCCTCTGCACCCAGGTGGGAGACTCGGAGGAACCTTATTGCTCCTAGCTTCAGACCAGCTCAGCTCTGGCCATTGTGACCATTTGGGGAATAAATCATTGAATGGAAGATCTATTTCTCTTATCTCATCTCTCTCTAACACTGTCAGGTAAACAAATACATCTTTTTAAATAAAAAGGAGACATTAAAAGTTGTTTCAGCATTCCATTTAGTAAGTGCCTTATTTAGAATATGTACAATGCCAAATTAGTATTTCCTATTTAAAGCATTTTGCTTAAATATTTTAGTTGCACTATAGTTGGTATTTTACATTCCATCATTTTTAAAAATACTAATAACAGAGCAGACGTTTGGCCAGAGAGTGTTGAAATGCAGCTGGGACGCCCACATTCCCTATCAGAATATCTAATATCCTATCAGAATATCCCAGAAATGCTTTCAGTTCCAAGTTCAGTTTTCTGCTGATGTGTACCCTGAAAGACAGCAGGAATGACCCAAGTATTTGTGTTGTTGACACCCACAAAGAAACCTGGATTGAGTTTTGAACTCTGGACTTTCAGCCTGACCAAACCTGGTTTTCTGGAAATTTGAGGAGTAGATCAGCAGATGAATAATCTCTCTGACTTTCTTTCTCTCTCTCTGCCTTTTGCATAAATTAAAAAAAAAACACCTTGAATTTCAGAAATATGTTTCTCTCTATAATGGGAACATGACACAGCTTTGACCCTTGTTTTACTGATGACATTTACTGCATTAAATATTTGGTGCCATTAATTGCAAGCTGTCATCATTTATAACATGACAGTAACATGACACATTGCTAACAAAATTGCGATACTTTTTAACATTTATTTAGTTTTATCAGAAAGGCAGATTTATGAACAGAAGGAAAGACAGAAAGAAAGATCTTCCATCTGCAGGTTCATTCCCCCAAAGGCTGCCAACAGCCTGAAGCTGAGCCATTCTGAAGTCAGGAGCCAGGAGGTTTTTCAGGTCTCCCACACAGGTGCAGGATCCCAAGGCTTTGGGCCATCCACTACTGCTTTCCCTTGCCGCAAGCAGGGAGCTGAATGGAAAGTGGAATAGCTGGGACGTGAACTTGTGCCCATATGGGATCCCAGTGCTTGCAAGGCGAGGATTAGCCAATTGAGTTACATAGCAGGCCCCACCTTTTTCTGAAAAAATATTTGGTTTTATTTGAAAGACAGAAAGATGGAGAGAGAGATAGAGAGATCTTTGAACTGATGGCTCACCCTTCCAATGGTCGCAGTAGCCACTGCTGAGCTGATCCAAACCCAGGAACGTTCTCCGGGTCTCCCACGTAGATGCAGAGGCCCAAGGACTTGAACCATTCACTACTGTTTTCCTAGGCCATAAACAGGGAGCTGGATCAGAAGTGAAGTACCTAGGACTCGAATTGACATCCACATGGGCTGCTGGTGCCAGAGGCAGAGGACCATGCTGTTTCACAACTTTTCCAGCTACTGCCAGATTTTCTTATCAGTTAGAATTTTTATTTTCTGTGGAACAGTACTTTTAGACTTATGAAATACTTACTTATACATAAAAAGAAATTTTAGGCAATATAATTTATATTGAGACAGCTGTAGATTTTTTCTCACACTTAGAATTCAGCTATTCTGAATCACTTTTTTATCTGTTGTTGGTGCTCCTGTTTTTCTGTACAGGGTGACCTCATTGCCATTAAAGCTTGCTGCTGCAACAGTAGTTCCCTGATATGGGAGTCTCTGATCCTGCCCCACCCCCAAGGTTAAATCTATTTTTGTAATACCGTGACATCATTTATTTTTGTCACTCTCCCACAAATAAATAATATTTTCTGAAAGTTATGTGATTTATGATATCCTAACAGACCAAATACAAATACAAAAATAGATATAAGAGTATAGCTTCCTACATGACGAAAGATTTATAAAATGCAAGATGCCATTTTCTCTAATTTTTTGGAAGTAATTTTTATTAAAATGTTAACATAAAATGATTTATTATTATGACTTTTAAATTAAAAAGTTTTTAAAACTTTACAGTTTTAAATTTCAAAGTAGTAAATATCAGCAGATATAACCTTGATAAGCAAAAATTCTTTGTTATTCTCAATGATTGGTTTTTTAAGTATGTAAATTCTGAGTTTGAGGAGCTATGGTTTGCAACATTTCCCCAGGATGGTCTCTGGGATTTGCTTCCAAATTAGTGCTGCTCACTGGTATGGCACTTTATAGATTTACTAGTACACTTTTAGGCAATAACTTGGAGTTTTGTTTTTTCTGAAACAGTGTGATCAGCCTTTCTTTACCTGTGCCGATAAGTTCCTTTGTGTTGATTCAGTCAGTAATGAATTGAAAATATTTTTAAATGTGTTTGTAGAAAACATGTGCAGGCTTTTTCTTGTTATTATTCCATAAACAGTATAGTATGTCAACCATTTACATAACATTTTGTGTTTGACACTGTTAAGTAGGCTAGAGATCATTTAAGCTGTAACGGAGGATTGTATAGATTCTGTGCAAAATGCCAAGCCATTTTACAGAAGGGATTTGGTCATCTGGGAAAATACATAGAAGATCCTTGAACTGATAACCTGTAGATACCAAGGGATGAGCGTATTCAAGTGTTAATTAACTGAAACATTAAGGAACTACAATTGTGGCACCATAAATAAGTTAATAGGAGCTGGAATTGGTAGATAAGCTTACTTTGATGCAAAAAAAAAATTTATGAAATCTATGCCTAATTTTTTCATAATAGCAATTTTGAAGAAAGACCTGTCTTTGTTTTTCTTAAAGATATATTTATTTACTTATATGAGAGGCAGAATAATGAAAAGAGAGGGAGAGAGAGGAAAAGAGGTATTTTCCATCACCAGTACTGGGCCAGAAGAAACTGGAGCCTAGAACTCCATCTGGGTCTGCCACAGGTATGGTTGGACCACACCCCCTCAGTCCATTTTCCACTGCTTTCCCACATACAGCAATAGAAAACTGAGTAAGAAGAGCAGCCAGGACAAAAACAGAAGTATAGTATGAGATGCTGGCTTCTCAAGTGGTGGTTTAACAAAGCACACCTGCTTCTCAAATGTCTTGATTTTCACCTGGGATGGTAAACATCAGATGGCCTCATTTTTGGGGAAAGAAAATATATGTAGGAATGTTTTTCATTTGAAAGAGTCACACACATACACACACAAGCCTTTCATCAGCTGGTTCACTCCTCAGATGCTCACTGCAGCTTTAGTTAGGTTTTAAAAACTGAGTGGAGCAGCTAAATTAGAGACAATTAAAAATATGAATTTTTCTTTGTATACTGTGTTTCATCTTTCTTACATTTGTGTCTTTTTACATTTTACCTTCTCTGTAATCAAGATATTACTTACCGTTAATTTTATCTCAACATTTAATTGACCATATTTATGTTCCTTAGTAGTTCATATGATAATGGTGACTCTAGTAATTGATAAAACTAGAAGAAATTAGCATACTGTGGCTTTATAGAAAGTTATAATGTTACCTATTTGAGAGTATGTTTAATAATAATTATATCTTACATTTCTCTTAAACTTTACAACTTGCACAATTGGCGGTTGTATCCTACTTTATTTATGAGAATTCTGGGACTGATAGTGTTACCTAAGGTTCCAGAGTGGATATTAAATTTTTAATTCAAAATTAGCTTTGTGTGATATCAGAGTCTATATTGATAAACTTTATTCTCAAAACATCTTTATTTTATCATAATAGCACTAAAAAATAATCCTAACTCAGATATAAACCAGTTTTACTAAAGAGCAGCATAGCCATGTGCAGCAAGTCCTTTAAGATGTTTATCTGATTCAACCCTCCTTTCTACCTTGTATACAATAATTTATCCACAAGGGTGTTTAGACAAACTTTATTTATGATGGTAAAAAAAATATGAATATTATGCATGTTCAAGAAATTGAAGTATGCAATGTCTAGATAATAGAATACTAGAGAGCCTATTAAAGTCATGTTTTTAAAGAATTTAATGACATATAAAAAGCTTACAAACTTCTAAGTTTAAAAATTAAAATCTAACACCTTTTTTTTTTAATTTTAGCGCTTTAGATGTTAGCTAAGATACCAGCTTCCTACTGCAAAGTAGCTGTGTTTGACATGTGGCTCCAGGTCTTGATTCCAGCTTCCTGATAATGTAAACCCTTGGAGGCAGCAATGATGGCTCAAGTAATTAGATTCTTGCTACCCTTTAGAGACCTGGCTACCGCAGATCTGGCTGTGGCAGATATTTGGGGAATTGAATCAGTACATGGAAGCTCGTTTTCTGTGTTTCTTCTCCCATGTCTCTACCTCACAATTTAAAAAACGTTTAACTAGTATCAGAGTAATAGAACAGCCATCTAAAACAAGAAATTTTTTTTTTTCAAATTAAACATTAGAGCCAAAAGGAGTATGAGTACTTGTTTTGGGATTAATGTCACCATGTCTGAGAACTGATTTCCATTGATGACCAATATAGTTTTTTCTCCAAGTATATTCTAAAATTGCAAGTTAGAAGTGAGCATTTGGTGTATTCACTTTGATGTCACTTGGGACACACACATCCCATATCCAGCATGTCTGGGCTCAAGTACCAGCTCTGTTTCCCAATTCCAGCTTCCTATTAATGTCCACCCTGGTAATGGTTCAAATAGTTGTGTCCTTTGGTATGGGAGATCTGGATGAAATTTCATGGTTTTGTCCTGGCCTGCCTTAAGCCTTGGCTGTTGCAGTGATTTGGGGAGTAATCCACTGAATCAGAGAATTCTGTCTCTGCCTTTCAAATACATTAAATACATAAAAAAAGATTTAAAAACTGTTAAAATTACAAATAAATCTAGAAGAACAAACTGTCTAATTTTGTTATAATGAAAATGAGGAATAGAAAAAACAAACTTGTTTTATAAAATGTAACAGTTTTGAATGTTCTATGAATATTGTCAAGAACTTAAATAATTTTTTTTCACAGATAGTTAAATCTGTCAATATACAGACTTAGAAGGTACGCTGTTAGAAGTATAAAAATAAATGTGGGTAGTAGACATAATTTAACCTTACAATTAAGAAGCATACAATTCACGTCATAGTGCCTGGGTTTGATTTTACACTCCGACTTACACCAGTGCAAATTTGGGGAGGCTAAGGTGATGGTCTAAGTGACTGACTTGTGCCTCCCATGTGGAAGACCTGGGCTGCATTCCTGCCCCTGGGTCTGGCCCTGGCCTGGCTGTTGTAGGTATTCGGGAATGAAACAGCAGATGAGAACTCTGTTTCCCTGTGTCCTTCTAAAATCCATATCTAAAATTTTTAAATAAATATATCAAACTGTGAACATCTTTCCCTGATTATTATTTATGAGCATATGCAGATAGATGCAATATGTGTATAGGCTTTATGGAAATATCTTCTAATCAAAGTATAGTTATGTGTAATAAATTTAGGTATTAAAAATGTATCTTTTATGTCATGATTTTATTTATTCCCCAATTTCTGATTGACATTAATATTCTCTATGTATAAGCTCATGATTTCACAAAGCAACAATCTGATTGCTGATGCCAGTTGTTCCAGAGGTTGTTAAGCTTTAGTTTACAAATGTAGATTACATAGTCTTTTTTATTTTTAGCCTCTAATTATATATCTTCACTTTTAAGCATCGAATGTTATCCAGACAAGAAGAACTTAAAGAAAGAGCAAGACTCCTACTTGAGCAAGCAAGAAGAGATGCACTTTCAAAGGCGGCGAGTAAGCAGAACACCAGCGCAGCCACACCACTCTGCAGCAGGCAGCTAAGTGATGTGAGAAACACTCTTGGAGAAACTATTACTTACTGTAATCATAGATGTTTGCTTATGTTTTTTGCTAGATTAGTTTTTCACATGCTTTGTGTGTTGTGGGTGCTTGGTACACTTATTGAACAATAACTTCATAACTAGAAATAGACTGTCCTTATCCATACACAGCAATGTTAGCCATGAGGGAAAGTAGTATCTTGACATATAATTTTAACATTTACCATCTGTTTTTATGTTACTATAATTCTCTAAGGTTTGTTTTTTATCTGCGAAACTTGAATATCTTAGAAATTATTACTTTATTGGTTAATATATCCACACTACTTTCCAATGACAAAATTGAGGCCATCAAGTAAAGTAACTTAGATGGAGTCACAAAGTTAGTAAATGGTGAATACAGAATTGAACTTGACCTTTTTTAAATTTCAGAGTCAGTGCTCTTTTCTTTCAGATACTACCATCCATTTGTTAGACCACATTATTATATGTATATTTATGTTTATGGATAGTACTTCACAGATGACAATGATTATACATGATATACACTTAAGATTTAGTTATTCTAATTGGAAAGTCAAATTTACAGAGAGAAAGAGAGACAGAAAGATCTATCTGCTGGTTCACTCCCCAAGTGGCTGCAGTGGCAAGAACTGAGCTGATCCAAAGCCAGGGGACAGGAGCTTCTAATGGGTTTCCCACATAGGTGTAGGTCCCAAGGCTTTGGGAGGTCCTCTACTGCTTTCTCACATCACAAGCAAGATACTGTATTGGAAGTGGAGCAGCCGAGACATGAACTAGCACCCATATGGGATCCTGACACATGAAAGCTGAGGATTTTAGCTACTACGCTACCGTGCTGGGCCTAAAAGTCTACATTTTCATGAATCTAGAAATTGACAAAACTCTATCCCACCACCAAACTCACACATAAAGAAAATTACATATTTATTGTTCTGACCTCATACTTTGCTTTCAAATTCAAATCTCTACATCATGATAGAAAATAAAATTAGTCAAATAGGCCATGAAATTTATCTTTAATGAAAATGTATAGAATAGATGGAAAATATTCAGTCACACATAGAAACAGTATTTTTGTGGAACTTTTGGTTTTATGGATGTGTACTTACCGAATCTTGAAGAAAAAATAATTTTGGCCCTGGCTAGGTAGTCTAATGGCGAAAGCCCTCACCTTGCAAATGCTAGAACCCCATATGGGTACCAGTTCATGTCCTGGCTATTCCACTTCCCATACAGTATCTTGCTTGTGATGTGAGAAAGCAGTAGAGGACCTCCCAAAGCCTTGGGACCCTGCACCCATGTGGCAGACCCATAACAAGTTCTTGGCTCTTGGCTTCAGATCAGCTCAGCTCCAGCTGTATGGCCACTTGGAGAGTGAACCAGCAGATGGAAGATCTTTCTGTCTATCCTTCTCTCTTTAAAAATGACTTTCCAATAAAAAAAAAAAAGCTATGGGTCATGGTGAAAACACTTGAGGTGGACTGGTGTTGTGGTGCAATTGAATAATCTAAGCTACTGCTTGAGGCACCCACATGCCTTATCAGAGTGCAAATTTGAGTTCTGTTTCCTCCACTTTAGATCCAGCTCTCTACAAAAATGTATTGGGGAGTAGCATATGACAGCTACATTGCTTAGTCCTCTGGCACCTGGATGGTGGAAGATGAGATGGAATTCTGGGTTTCTTGTTTCAACCTGGCATTTGGGGAGTGAGTTAGCTGATACAAGATCTCTCTCTTTCAATTTGCATTTCAGCAGATGAAAAATATATATATAAACATATTCTTTGAAAGTTCAAGAAATACCAAATTCTTACTAAGATAAAATTTAAATTCTTATGTCAGCTTTTTAAGTGCTTTATTAACTTGTTGAATCAGCCATTTGCCAGTTATTTTGGGGGTATCCGATTTTGTCTATTCAGTGTCAGGAAAGATTGAGCTTCCCCCTTCCATGTGTATTTTATTCTGGTGGGAAAAGACAGATAATATGAAATAAATAATGTAATTACAGGGTGTGAAAGTTATATAATACAGTAGAGGACTATTTAAGGAAACGATATTTGAATTAACATTTGGTGGATGGGACAGAGTCAAGTAGAACACTAAAAAAAGAATATTCTCTTTAAAAAGAAAATTATTTTATTTATATTTGCAATGCACTTTGTTTTACCATTCTTCCAGGCTTTAAAAGTTGTGGAAAATTTGTACCATTTTTTTAGAATAAAATTTAAAGGTACTATAATTAATCTTAAAAAAACTCAGAATATTTTATGTTTAAATGATCTGCCTGTCAAGTGAATTTAAAAAGTCATTTTACGGGTCCTGCGCAATAGCATAGTGGTTAAAGTCCTTGCCTTACACGCACTGGGATCCCATATGGCACCAGTTCTAATCCCAGCAGTTTCACTTCCACCCAGCTCCCTGCTTTTGGCCTGGTAAAGCAGTTGAGGACAGCCCAAAGCTTTGGGACCCTGTACCCACATGGGAGACCCAGAACAGCTCCTGGCTCCTGGCTTCAGATTGGCTCAGCTCCAGCCATTGTGGAACTTGGGGAGTGAACCATCAGATGGAAGATCTTCCTCTATGTCTCTCCTCCTCTCTGAATATCCGCCTTTCCAATTAAAATAAAATAAATCTTTAATTTAAAAAAAAAATTTGTTTTACCAGGTTCAGCATCGTGGCACAAGGAGCCACTGTGACCACTGCCTCACATAATGGAGCACTGGTTAGAGCACTAGCAGTTCTGTTTCTGATCTAGCTTCCTGATGAGAAACTTTGCTCTTGTTCAAGAGAAAATATTTGAAATAATGTTTCTGTGTTTTGCATATGTGTCCAAAAAAAACACAAGAAAGAAAAATCATTGAAAGTAAAAGTTGTTTTGTCGCCTTATTTACAAAGAGCATGACATATTAAGGTAAATGTTTTAAACTAGGAAAATTTTTGGTATGCAAAAAAAAGAAAGTTTTAGGAAATTGTCTTCTTAGCATACCCATGCTAAGTTAAAGCAATTTCATTTAAACCACATTATGTTTCAGTATCTCTAAGCAAAGAAGCACAGAAAAAAAATCTACACTTTTATAGTTGATGCTACTAGTTTATGCTTACATGTGAAATAAATACTGATTTAATGATAAATTTCCTAATCACGTTGAGAAGATATGATATTCTTGGTGACCAATTTTTGAAACTGATAAATAATAATTACATTATCTCAAAAACGATTTCATTGTTCCTGTGAGTACTGTTGACCTGACTTAGCAGAGCTTGCTTCTATTTGTGTGTTGGTGGTGTTTTTCCCAGAAAGAGCAACTTCACGGCATGCCTTGTGATTCACGTTGTTATTTACATTTCACATGAACCCAAAGATGTAGCCTGTTCCTTACAAAACTATGATTTGAATCATCCTAAAGATATTTTCCTATTGTTTAAATTATCTGTTGCTGCATTAAATAACAATACCACCAAATAAAAACCCCACATTTATTGCTGTAAGCCAACCATTTTATTATTTTAGCTTACAAATGATACATATCAGGTATTCTGATGGGACTCAGTGAAAGCGGCTTGTTTCTACTGTGTGACATCTGGACCTGCCTTTCATCTTGGAATTCTGATGGATCGTCAGTTGGGACACCTACACATGGCCTGTTTGATCTTTTGGATTCTGTAGTTTGGGCTTTATTATGGCATAGGGACTAGCTTACAAGGTAAATACCCCAAAACAGTAAGTCAGAGATGCACAGTATTGTTATGTTCTAACTTGCCTTCCTTTTTTTTTTAATTTATTTTATTTTTTATTTGAAAGTTGGAATATAGAAAGGAGGAGAGACAGAGAGGAAAATCATCCATCTGTTGACTTACTCCCCAAGCAGCCGCAAAGGCTGGAACTGAACCAATCCAAAGCCAGGATCCTGGAGCCTCCTCTGGGTCTTCCACACAGGTGCAGGGTCCCCAGGTTTTGGGCTGTCCTCGACTGCTTTCCCAGGCCACAAACAGGGAGCTGGATGGGAAGTGGGGCTACTGGGATTAGAACCAGTGCCCATATGGGATCATGGCATGCTCAAGGTGAGGACTTTAGCAGCTAGGCTACTGCGCAGGGCCCATCTTTTTAAAAAACAAAATCACTTCAAGTATATACTAAGAAATGAAACTCAGAGGCCAGTTTCAGTTACAAACATAGAAGCAGAAATCATGAATTAACATTAGCAAGTTCAACCCAGCAGTTAAAAAAGGCTAATGTACCATGGCCAATTGGATGCATTCCAGAGTACTAGATGATTTCGTATTTCAAAAGTCAAGCAATGTAAACAACCACATTAAAAAAGAAGAAAAACAAAGCAGTATTTTTTAAAAGTCAATTTGTTACTTTATTTGTTTGAAAGGCAAAGTAACAGAGAAGGAAAGATCTTTAATCCACTGGTTTACTCCCCAAATGGCTGTACCAAAAGGAGCTGGACCAAGCTGAAGCCTGGAGGCAGAAACTTCATTCCAGTCTCCCCTCTGGGTAGCAATAAGCCCTTGAGTCATCATCTGCTCCATTTTCAGGTACATTAGCAGTTAGCTAGATCAGAAGTGGAGTCTCTAGACTTAAACCAGCACTGGAATATTGAATGCAGACATCCCAATCAACAACCTAACGTGCAACCCCAAAATGCTTCTTCCAGAATAATAATTTGAATGTGTACAAAAAAAGTTTTAAAATATTAACATTGGTTTCTGGAACAATGGAGAAATAAAGCACAATTCTTACCAGTTAGAAACAGAATTTCACTGGTGCCGGCACGATGACTCATGGCTAAACCCTTATCCTGCACTGGCCTAGATCCAGTGAGGGCGCCAGTTTCGTGTCCCGGCTGCTCCACTTCCCATCCAGCTCACTGCTTGTGGCCTGAGAAAAACAGTAGAGGATAATATCCTTCTCTCTGTATAACTGCGTACCCAGTATAAATAAATAAATAAGTAAATAAATCTATCTTTGAAGAGAAA